CAATGACTTTTCTATCTTTAGGGAGGTCAACCAACTCCCAAACTTGATTTCTTTCAATAGAATCAAGTTCATCATCCATAGCTTGAGTCCATTAGGCAAAGTCATGTGAGCTAATAGCTTCATTGTAGCTTCGAGGGTCATCTATTGTATCCTCACTCATAGAAGAATAATTATTTTCATTCATAAATTTTCTTCTAAAGTCGTTGGTGGGGCTCTAGTTCTTTTAGGTTTGTCAGGTATACTTGATTCAATTGAATCATTCTCACTAAATGTAGAGGGAGTCTGAGAAACAGGGTTTTCCATACTCTTATCTTTATCAATTTCATGTAAGTCAACATGCTTATTTAAAATATTTTCATCATCTATATTTTCTAAGAAATAACATTACGACTCTCTATTAATAATCTAGTATCATGGTTATATAATCTATACCCCTTTAAATTTTTTGAATAGCCTATAAAAGAGCATTTTATAGTTTTATTTTGTAATTTATCTCTATTTTGTGGTGGTATAAGCACATGTGCCCAAGAACCCCAAACTTTCAAGATAGTAAGGTCAGGTTTCGAACCTGTCAATAATTCATATGGGGTCAAGTCTATAGATTTAGTTGGGACATGATTAATAATATACATTGTAGTGTTGAGAGCCTCACCCCAAAAATGAGGTGATAAATTTGAATGGCTCATCATAGACCTAACCATATCCATTAGAGTTATGTTTCTTCTTTCAACTACACCATTTTGTTGTGGTGTATATGGCATAGTTGTTTGGTGAATTATACCATGTTCCTTACAAAATTTGGTAAATAAGGTGGAGCAATATTCCAACTCTCTTATCTGTTCAAAGAATTTTAATATGTCTACCTAACTGATTTTCTACCTCAGCTTTATATTCTTTAAATGTTTCTAATGCATCTGATTTCTTACTAATTAGGTATACATATCCACAACGTGAATAACCATCTATAAATGTTATGAAATATTCCATACCTCTATGTGTTTTCATATTTAATGGGCCACATATATCAAAGTGAATAATACTAAGTAGTTCACTAGATCTTTTTCCTTTAGGGAAATGCCTCTTAGTTAATTTACCAGAAATACATGGCTCGCATGTTTTGAACACAATTTCTCCTAAATCGGGGAGCCTCTTTTAACTATTTGATTCATTTTGTCTTTATTTATATGTCTTAATTTTAAATGCCATATATATGGATCATCCATACATACATAAGCATCAAAAGATGCGTCAAAATAACCAGAAAGAGATGACCTTTTATTAATATTCAATCGGTACAAATTGTCAATTTTAATACCGTACACCAATGCTCTATAATGTTTTCCAATGGTAACTCGACCAGACCTGAACCTTATTTCATAACCCTTGTCTTCTAGCCTAGGGACATAAATCAAATTGCGTCTCATATTGGGTGCATACAATGTATCAGTCAATAAGAGATTTGTTCCTCCTGGTAAACACAGCGTGAAAGTACCGACATCTAGTACATCGCAATAGGTGTCTTTTCCTATGTAAATCCGCTGATTACCAGCTGCAATATCCTTTAATTCTGTAAATCCATCCTCAAGACATGTCGGGTGGAGGCTGAGTCGACCCACCAATTTCTCAGGTCATGGGTGGCAACTATTGATTCTAGGACTATGCAAATCAAGTCATTTCTTTTATTTTGATTATTTCGAACAGGGTTGTTATTCTGGTTCCTATTTTTATTTTCCAGCTTAAAATAATTAACTTGATGTGCCCAATTTCATTACAATAAAAACAAGTTTTCTCAACCTTACTATTTTGATTTTTAAATTTCTCCCTTTTCCCTTATATTTATTATTTTTTTGATTATTGAAAGGTTTATTGAGGATCAGAGAAGATGAACTTTGGGCAAAGTGGAGCTCATTTGACTTCTTCCTCATTCTTCTCTCAGCTTCAATACTGAGATGCATGAGAAGATTTAACATAGTGATCCCTTATACATAATGGTTAAATGCAATTACAATAGACTCTCAAGATGGAGGGAGACTGTTAAGGACGATCGACACTTGCATGCAATGGGGGACTGGATTTCGGGCTGCAGTAAGGTCCTTGGCGAGCACTATCATTTTATTGACATGTTTGGTCACTGAGTCTGATTCTTTCATTCTACAAGAATTGTAGTTTCCTAATAACAATTGCACGTGGGTTTCAGAAGTGGTCTCATACTTTTCAGGTAGGACACCTATCATATTTTGAGTTGTGGTGTGATCCTCAAAGACTCTAATCAAATCATCTTCCATAAAGCTCAACATAGTAGTCCTAGCTACTTTGTCATCTTCTAACTATTTTCAAGTCACTTTCTGGCTTGACCATTGGCATTAGACTCTAAAACTGGTGGTTCCGTTTCTAGGACATAGTCTACCATATCTTAGAAAAGAATATATCTAATTTTTCTTTCCACATAAAAAAATTGGTCCTTTTGAGTTTTTTCAAGTTTGGATAGTTCTGACATGACTAGCCTAGATGTCATTTTGAATTTTTTAGACAATACCTAAAAGTTCAAAATTTTAATTATGTTTAAGAAAGTGTTGTCTGCTAGCTAAATCAATAAGTTTGCCGACTCTCAGTGAGCTGCAACCTCAAAGAAAAATTTTCTCGAACAGTTTATGTTCGCACTGCTGTGATGCAACAAAAAATCAATAAAGTAAGGCAACAATTAGTTTATCTTAAATCTTGTATAAGACTAATTTTCATAAATATATGTTTTAGCTCTAGAGAGAGAGAGTCTTCAATAATATTTAATATTTTTCAACAAAAATATGACATAATAGAATCACAAATATTTGCGTTCACGAAATCAAGATCATAAAAATTTCTCACTTAAAGAGACCAAAGAATATGATAATTATGCTTAACAATGACAATTATTATGCAAATAGAATATATAGAAATATCCTTAAATCCTAGTTGAAGCATATATATATATATATATATATATATATATATATAAAATAGCAAAAATAAAATAAATTATTGGCTGCAGTTACATGTGTCTTTGTCTCTCGCTCTCTCTAAAATTCCAGCAACAATTCCGTGCCTCAAAAAATATCAAGAGTTTTGACTTTCTAAAATATTCGAACAATAGCTCTATAGTTATCTTTAAAATTACAGTACTACTAAAAATTCAAAGAGTCCCTTTTTTATATTGCAAAAGCACGGACCTACTTGCTAGTTCAAAATTTTTTTATTTTATTTAAGACACTGATTTTCAGCGGTAGTTATATCTCTGTCTCTAAAATTTCAGCAACATAAAATTACAGTGGCAATTTTTATTTATTTATTTATGACCGTCAAAATTAGAGAGATAATTACCGCTTCACTTTGGCTGAGTGGTTAAGGTGTGTGCCTACTAAGTGCACGAGGTTTCCAGGGAAAAACTTGAGTGAACTGTTTTGCGCAATAAGTTAAACAACAAAAAAGAAAAACCCTGAAATTCACTGAAATTTACTAAAGTGCAGTGAATATCATTATGATATTCAATGGAAAAGAAAAAAAAAAAACATTCAAAAGGGCTTGGCAAAGAAAAAAAATGGTGAACTTCTGCTTAGGTAAATATTAATTCACTGCAAGAGGTAGGTATCTGTCCAGATATATACGAGATCTCCTACCTATTAGTCATTGACTTGATACATATGGGAACAGTGAATCAGTCAGATACGATGGCTATATATGTATGAGCGTCAATAATTTTTATCAATAAGATATATATGAATCAAGAACAATGGATCAATAAGATATATATGAATCATGTAGGCAAACAAATGAATTAGAGTAGAGCGTCAATAATTTTTATCAATAAGATATATGTAAATCAAGAATAATGAATCAATAAGATATATATGAATCACATAGGTAAGAAGGTGAATTAGAGTAGAGGATTATGTAAAAAAAGAAGAAGATATAAATGAATCAAGAACAATGAATCAATAACTTTATCAACAAGAGCGTCAAGGTTGTTAAATTATCAATAACGTTATCATCCAATATGTCTGAGTGTCAAGATAGGGGTAGTAAAGTACCGTGCACCAAAAATCGTCAATAATGGAAAAAATTACGACTCAGGCAATTGTGACACACAATAGAAAAATTACGACTCAGGCAATTGTGACTCACAGCTCAGGCGACAGTGGTAGAGAGCTAAAATTGAGAATAGAAAATTTAGAGCAACTTCGCTCTGATACCATTGTTGAAATCTTGAGGGAAGAGATGGACTCCTCTCTTAAGAATACTGGCGGTATCGCGAGACTTGGGATCGCAAAGATCAGGCCCTTTCCCAGAACAATGAGAACTCAAAATTGATTCCATGGTCTACATCTCCATGGCCTTGAAACCCTTATTAAAGAGGGATGAAAGGAGGTCGTTCTCCAAAGTTCGTTTGAGTTTCTAAAATCCTGGGAGGTGGGTGATTATTTTCTATCCATTAGATAACGACACATTCTCTCTCTAAGAAGCCATTTTAGTGATAAGCATTAAATTATAAAAGAGAGAAAAATGACATGTTTAAAGGCCCCATGGCCACACAAACGTACCAACATTTATTGTATTTTAATCCTTGTTTGATTAATAAAATTATTGATAATTATAAAAAAATAAAAATAAAAAGAAGGAAAGTATGTCAAGATAAGTTTTAAGCAAAGGACATGGTTTCTATAAATGAGGGCACAACAATAAATTTATAGTTTAATATAATTTAATCCTAATTTTTAGAGAATATATGATTTTTAACATGGAGATCATAAATATGAAAAAAATAAAGTGAGAACTAAAAATAATAATTATAAAACATTTAGATTGTTAGGTACAATTGTTTTTAGATGAACCTATTTACAACATCAACATGCATATCCTATGCGCTTATTCAAATTATCCAAATGAAGTTTACTCAAATTTTCATATACTTTAACCCCTATCCATAAATTTCTGATAAATAACAACCTATTTGTATTGTTAATAAATCTCAATCAATTCTCATCATGTACACAAAATTCCTTCCCTTGAGCCTTCTTCAGTCTCTCTCCTCGAACCCCCGTTTCCCTCTCTCTCTTCTATTTGCTTCGTCTCTAAGAAACCAAAGGCAATTGAAATTTTAGATTGGTTATTTGGCGATCGTTTGTGATACACAGCGAGAGATGCAGGAGGCAGAGCTACACGACCTGTCGGATGATCCCGACTACGTCGCCTCCCAACAACAGGTATTTGCATCTCTCTCTCTCTCTCTCTCTCTCTCTCTCTTTCCCTCTCTATTCTCTGTTGGTATTTTGGTCTGGTTAATATGGCTGATTTTTCTTCCATGACAGTTTCGTTCCCTTTTCTGCGATGTTTTTTGCTTGTTCTAGTTTTTCCAATGGATCACGATCATCCTGATTTATGACTTCACCTTTTTCAGTAATGTTCTGAGGGTATTGTATTATCTTAAATTCTGCACAAAAGGTGGAGGAAACAGTTGAGTTTTTCTATTTTTTTTTTGTTTGCTTTACATAGTGATGCAATGCGCATATTTCTAATGGAGTTTATGTGATTTCAAAAATAAAGATGAAAGTATTGAATGCAACAGAGAATTCATCAAATGATTGAAAATTGCTGTCAACAGTGTTCTTTTTTGGAGATTCAAGCAGTTGAATTGGAAATTTGAGTAAAACTCATCCGTGACTTTTTAGCTTTCTTTAATGAATTTTACCACAGAGTTTGCCTAAACTCTGCGCTGAATTATACCTTTATTTATTTGATTCCTATGGTAGAATGGGCTGAAAAAGTAAGGGACTTCCACCCCATTAGCCTTTTTAACTCGTACAAAATTCTTTCCAAGGTCCTAAGAATCTAGACTCCAAAAGGTGCTGTATAAAGTCATATCTCCTGTGCAATCGGCCTCTGTCGCTAACATGCAGATCCTTGATGGTGCCTTTGTAACACATGAAGCCATTCACTCTAGGCTTACCTCAGGAACTAAAGGGACAGGGAAAAGGCTTATGATCAAGTAGATTAGGGCCTACTTGATGAAATTCAGAATTGCATGGGATTTGGCCCTAGGTGGAGATCTTGGATTGAAGCTTGTATAACCAATCCTTTCTTTTCCATCATTAGTAACGGTTCTCCGGTTGGCTTCTTTCCCTCCTCTAAGTAGACAGGGAGACCTCCTCTCCTCTTTCTTGTTCACCTTCATAGGAGAACTCTTTTCTAGATCCATTTCCAGGTTGTTTGATCAGGGCCTCCCCACGGGGTTCCAAACCTCTAGAGATGGCCCGATCATCTCCCATCTTCTTTATGCTGGTGACACCTTAATTTTCTGTGGGGCTGAACCCTAACAGCTGGATAATTTGCTCTCACTCAGATGCTTCGTGTTCACCACGGGGATGAAGGTCAACATGTCTAAAACTAAAATGTTGGGTGTGCGAGTCCAAGATCCTGAAATTCTAGTTGATCATTTAGGATGTGTCATTGTGCAGCTTCCTTCATTCTACTTGAGCTTACCCTTCGGTTTAGGAAATCCTAAGAAACACTTCTGGGACAATATTTTAGAAAAGTTCTTTTGGAAGCTTGCTAACTAGAAAGGTAGATTCTTGGCCCTTGGAGGTAGGATCACTCTCATGAAAGCGACGTTGGCTAACATTGCTATTTACCAGATGTCCTTCTTCCAGATTCCTTCCTCTATAGCCAATCGCCTTGAGAAACTCATGCGGGATTTCTTTCGGAATGGGGAATCTGAGGGTCATAAATTACACCTTGTTGCCTGGAACAAGATTTGTACCCCCAAAAAGTGTGGTGACCTAGTCATAAAGAATATTACCCTTATGAATTCTGACGAGATTCACATCCCCACATCCTCTTCTTTAGAAACAGGTCATAACTGCTAAATATGGTATTGGAGAGGACGGTTGTCTACCTTGTTCCCTTATCCACTGTGCCTTAGGTGTGTGGAAGTCTATATCCTCTTCTAAATCAGTCTTTAGGACCTTCGTTAGATTTAAAATAGGGAATGTGTCTAGAGTTAGATTTTGGAAGGATCTTTGGATTGGTGACCAACCGCTAAGACTACTCTTCCCTTCTATCTCCTCCTAGCCACGGACCAAGATGCCTATGTGGCCACTTATCTGGAACACAAGGATTTAACATTGGTTTGGACTCCTATCTTCAGGAGAAATCTAAACAATTCTGAGATTAGCTCCCTCAGCTCCCTGCTCCTTTTGCTCACCCCTTTCTTCTCACCTCTTTCCAATGAAGACTCCATCATATGGGCTTCCAACCCAGCTGGGGTTTACAATGTTTCCTCCTCCTACTCGTCTCTCCTTCCCCCTTTGGATCTCTCTCCCCTCCTCAATATACTCTGGTCCATCCCTGTCCTGCTCAAGATCCAAGCGTTCACCTAAATCCTTCTCTAGGGAAAAATCCTAAACCTAGACAAACTTCATGGGCACGGCCAATTACTACCCAACTGTTTCAGTCTCTATCTTCAAGACCAGGAAAATATTCTCTTTCTCCACATCGAGGTGGCCTCTTCCCTGTGGTCTTCCCTCCTCCAAATTTGTGACATCCAATGGGTCACCCCTGCTTCGCTACCCCATATCTTCTCCACTCTATTTTCTCCCCCTTTCCCTAGAAGTGGTGGAACTTTATGACACATCTCTATCTTGGCTCTATTGTGGTATATTTGGTTAGAAAGGAACTAAAAAATCTTCCAAGGTACTGCTAGATATCTTTCTCGTCTCTTTGACTCTGTGCTGACATTGATTTCTTTTTGGGCCAAGATTATTCCCTCCTACAATACTCTCATCTTATCTGATTTCCGGGCAAATTGGAGTTGCTTTCTTCTCCCCCCCACAACACCTTCTTATAGGGCTGCTTGGAATCCTCCTTCCCTTGGCTTTCTTAAAGTTAATTGTGATGGTTTCTCCCTTGGAAATCTTGGTCCCTCGGGCTTTGGAGGTACCCTTGCCAACTTCAAAGGAATCTTTTTGTGCTTTGTTGAAGCAAGGGAATGAGGCTCCTTTCTTTCTTAGGTCACTTGGGTACCTTAGATTCTACCACAGCGGAAGTCCTTGCATTACTTGAAGGCCCAAAGAGAGCATCTCAAGTAGCTCATCAATTTGCTTGGATATTAGTAGCGGCCGACTCAAGCAACACTATTCTCTGAGCCTCAAACCTAAGCTAGCCCCCATGGCGCCTCGCATCCATTTTTGACCAGATTGCTTTCATTTACAGATCCTTACCACCATTTTCTTTCAGACACATACATAGAGAATCCAATTTAATAGCAGACAGGCTCGCTAAGAGAAAAGTACAAAAAGAGAAAAAGAAAAAAAGAAGAAGCAGAGGAGCAAGATAAAACGATATTTACAGTCCTTTTTCTCGTTTTCTGTCAAATCTTCTCCTCTCATTCTCCCTTTTGCACCTCATTCATTCTCCTCTTTCTTTCCCACTCCTCCCCACTCTGGCATCATTCTTGTCTCTCTTTCCCTTTTCGATTAATTCTTCCGACTCTCCTTCGCATTCTCTCTCCTTGCATTCCTTTTATTCACTTTCTTTCCTTTGGCCTCTGCTGTCTCTCACCCCCACTCTTTCCTTCCTCATTCTCTTTCCCTACTTATCCTCTACTTTCTCTTGACCCTCTCCTCTTATTCCCCTGTTTTTTCTTCTCATACTTTTCTCATCTTCTCCCCCCTTCCCACTTAGGTAGTTTTCAAGTTTCTCCCTTCATCTCTTTTGTATGTCTCTGCACTCTCTTTCCCAATTCGCAAGGAGGTGCTCTGGTATAATTTCTTGCCTCGGTCAGAAGCAGCAGCAGGAAGCGTGCCCAAAATTTGGTTCGCAGGCACAAGCCTCAAGGATTTCGACATTGGTGCTGTCTTCAGAGTCCTTTCTTCTCATGTTCTTTCTATTCTCACTCTCTTCCTTCTCTCCTCTCTCCAACCTTCTCCTTCTTCCCCTTCTCTCTAGTTCTTCGTTTACTATCTACCTCTATCTCTCCTTTGCCCCGTCTCGTACTTGGGCTTCCAGGACCGCTAGATTGGCTTTCTTCCCCACCCCCAAAGGTGCTCCCCAGCAGCATCCCCTTTCTTCTGTTCACTGACATGGCCCCTTTTTTGTTTTAAGGAATTTTTGTTTATTCTTTATGTAATTTGTTATTTTCCTTTCCCTACCTCTTTTGTACTATGAGGAAGAGCTTGTGGGCTGCCTACACCAGATATATAGTGGTTTTTGTATATGTATACTATTTTAATTTTAAGTTAACCTTTCTAAAAAAAACTATTGGAGTTCAATGCTATGAATACTTTTTTGTTTTTCTTTATCTTGAATGAGATTTTTGTTTTAGTGGGTCTCTCTATTGGGTAATAAGTTCTCATTTTGCTTTATCTTGAATGAGATTGCTATTTAGTGGGTCTCTCTATTGAGCAAGAATTGTTTCCTGCACTGAAGTGTTATTTCTCTTTTTTGGTTACATATGGTTGATTTGGGAGATATGGATTCTAAAATGGATTGATAAAAAGCTAAAAAGGATTCTTAGTGCAGTAATATAACATTCTTGTTTGTGAATGGGAGAACATTGGTCCATGTCTCTAAAATGAAACTGTAATCATGCTTCGCACATAGGAGAAAATGTTGAACCCGTCTTCTCCCCCAAATATAGGTTTTTCTAATATGAATTCGAGGTAATTGTAAAGGGTGTTTTACATCCAATTTCCGTATTCTCACAAAGAGGATTGGTTTGAGGGGCAGTTGGGGAGGGTCTTCCTTTTCTTTATTTCTTTATGTATGTTTTCCACTTTTTCAGGATTCTCTTCTTTATCCTAAATTTTACTCCCCATTTGCAACTAGAGTCCATAGAGAAGCGCGGCCATGCATCCTAGAGACTTTAGCAGACCAATTCAAAAACCTTGCCTCCTATCTCCTTGCCCCCAATATTTGACCTTAAAGATCTTCGCCTATGGACAGTTTCCCTCAATTGTAAAGCATGAGTTCCACATTTGAGTGAAGCATGCTTAACCATATGGAGACTTCAATACCCTGGTCAAGATTGTTCTTTGCTATCAAACATTTGCTTTGTTGGCTAAGTTTATATTTTTCTCCCCAAAAAACCTTAGTCTGGATTGATCAAACTATTGGCCACCTCAAGAGGAATATGGGAAAAGGGACATAAGTCATATACTTCTCTGGATAGATAAGCTGGATTTGGACCCACAAAGCCCAAGGGGTACTAAAGTATGTAAATATGTTATTGAGAGTGAAAATGATGACAGATTCTTCTGGCAAATGTGAAGAACAAGATTTCCATGATGCTAACTTCCTTCCATACCTCTCAATAGCTAGGTTGTTGAAGCCTTTTCTAGGCGTTCCAAGCATAAGGAGAGGCCCCCACCATATTAGTCTCAAAAGGTGTTTCTGCATTGTGAATTGGCGATGAGATGTGAGAGGGTAGGTTGGCCATGTGCAACACTGACCCAATACAACGGTGTTAGGAGGTGCGAGTTAGTTCAAGCGGAAGACTAAAAAAGGGCAAGAGGTAGGCCCAAAAGGGCATGGTTGGAAGTAGTAAGAAAAGATATGGGGGCTTGTAGCCTCATATTGAGGATATGACCATTGATAGAGCAGAATAGTGGACCAGGATTTGCGTAGCCAACCCCAATTAGTTGGGAAAAGGCTCTAATGATGATGATGATGATGATCCTAGCATGGTGACCCAAAAAGTGGTCCTGAACCACCACTTTCGTAATCAAACTCTTTTGAGGTTGAATTTCTGTCCTGAAATGAGCTCAAATCATTTGGACATTTTGGAATTTTTTGCTCGAGGCATTGCAAAACAAGATTGTGTGTTGGGAAAGTGCTCTCCCAATCAAAGGGCCTTTGGACCTCCTGAAGAAACCTTCAGGGAATCCATGGATTTGGATTGAGAAAGGTATGGTATGAATATATGATGCACATTGTGTACATTTTCTCCCTCTATTACTAAAACCCCCTTGTCTCATAAGATAATCATGGAACCCACAATCAACATAGGTTTAAGCCTTCTCCATATATATCTTCTATTTGTATTTGGAGTCTAAACAGCCATGGGCCAGTGGCGTGCTCTTGAAGATTTGCCTCCCTCCAACAATGAGCATCTGGGGGTGTGAGATGATGTGCTGGAGGACCAATCTTAGTCATTTTCTGGAAGAGGATGGAATTCTAATCATAAAAATTTGGGGAAAGGTGTGCAAGAGTATTGTATTGATTATGCACGAATAAAAAAGCACGGGTTGCCCGTTTTTGTATTTATCTAGTTCCTTTAGATGGGGCCTCTAATTCAGAAGTTGGAGTTCCCCAGCAGCCCCTTGATGAAGGCTATAAGCAATATAGGAAATCAGAGGAATTTCCTAAAAGGTGAAAAAGTCGGGTGGGTTGAACAATTGATTCACCCAACTTTTCACGAAGTCTTGCAAAGCCAACTTTGCCTATTTAAGAAACTGGTCCCTTTCGAACCTGATATGACTTTGGTTGTATCGAATATGGTCTAACATAGAAATGAGGTCAGGGTTCTGCCTGATGCAATATTTAGTTTTTATTAATTCTTAGATATCTTAATTGAAGTTTTTTTATGACCATGGAGGGATGGCTTCCTTTGCATGCCTCACCTATTTGCTTTTTTATGTGACCTGTAAATTATGCATTAGCTTACTTCTAACAACCTGAGACCTTGTTCCCTCTCTTTATACCTTGTTTCCTTGGTACTTTTGGCTTCTATGTTACATGCATCAGGAAGGCTTGTGTAGTGAAAATCATTTTATTTGGCGTTATGCGTCGAGGTCTCATTTGAATTCTTGTCTTCATTTCTTTACAAGGTTAATCATGAGCACTGCCCTGTCAATCATTCTGCGCACCCCATTTACACAACATGATAAATGGAGAGAGTATATCAATGGATATTTCTTTCAGGATCTATCTTCTCACTCTATAACATATTGAAATGATGATCAGCAATTTTTTGACAAGATATGATGTTAGCAATTTGCTCTGTTTTTCTATTTGCTGAGAATGTCTTCATTCCTTGACAGGGTATTGTATAATTATGTATTTTTTATATGCTTCTATTGTTGTATTTTTTTCTTTCACTTGCAAAAATTTGTTGTAATTTGTGAATGCAGGCTGATTGACCCCAAGTGGTGTATCCCCTGTAAAATGTGCTTTCAATTACACCTAGTTTTGATTAAACCACTTGCATAACCATCAGAAAAAAGTTGGCATTTTTTATTTATTTATTAACTGAAGTTTGGTATCTTAAGTCTGTACTTGTACCTTTGTTCCATCTTGCCTTTTCTATTAGATGTGGAATGATTTTTTGTATTTATTTAATTTATGTTTTAACTATTCCATGTTTTCTGTTATGAAGGGATCAGGAGGCAGTGAAAATCAGAAATGTACCAGAAAGAGCAATGGCCCTACTGAACCAAATGGATCTGAAGTAGTGTATTCAAAGGACAATGTTGCTATTCACCCAACTCAGTATGCATCTGAGAGGATTAGTGGACGCTTACAGCTAATCAAGAGGGATTTGTCGTTGTTCATGGTACCTCTATCATCCTGAGACTATACCTGCCACGTCATTGCTTTTGGTCGAATAGTTTGTTGTGCTTTAATCTCACTTCTCTCTGTGATTTGTGAAATTTTAGTAACTATGTAAGAACTTGTGCTTGAAGTCTTACACCTGCCAGATTTTATTATAATGAAAGCCTAAACTGCTTGTTGTTTGGGCAGACATGGATTCCGTACAAACAGAGTGCAAGTTATGGTGTTGGGCAGGGCTCAAGAGTGAAGCTACCTGAAAAAGGTTAGGGTGGACTTCTTACGGGTTTGATGACAGATCATGCGGTTATAATTTGACAGAGTTGCCATTTAATCTTATCAAACTGTGGCTTGCAGATAGAAACTTGTATACCATCAGAGCGGTCCCACTGACGGATGTAAGATCTATTCGTCGGCACACTCCTACTCTAGGCTGGCAGTACATTATCATGGTCTTAACATCTGGTGAGTTTTATCTATGTTTACTAACTATTTACTTTAAAGGATTGAACTAATTGAAGAAATACCTATATATTGCTCCGTCATGATCCTTTTTTTTTCAATTTCTCAAAGAAATCTGAAACATGCTATGACATCTCTTATGATCGACTCCAATGAGTTATTAACTTTGTTTATCCAAAGCAGCTTCTTAAAGGCAACCTATGAATGTGTAACCTAAACTCCCTATAACATTCAATTTCTTGTTTTTGTATGAGTTAAATCTGGAAGAAATATCAGCAGTTGTGATATAACGGAAGCTCCTTGGTCCAACAGGCAACAAGACATTGCTGAGTGAAGATTGATAGCTCCTAAGGATCAATAAAGTTGACATAAGAAATAATTTAGAACTATATCTACAGTTAATAATTTTGAATGTTATCTACAGTTGTTTGGGCATTGAACATTGGAGTTGCACATGTATGTGTCACATCATGCGCTATGTCATGCTGATCTGTGGCGTTCTATTTACCTTGTTTAAATAAGTTTATGGGATCCATATGTAAATAAATATTTTTTCCTTTAATAGTCTTAGTTTTTTTCCATTTATATGTACTTAGCCATCACTTATTATTTCCTTTTCTCTTTCTCTCACAGGCAATCAAGCTTGATCTTTATCCTATTTTAAATTTTCTTTCCCTTCTCCCTCCTCTCTCAATCGTTTTAGATCTTTATCTTTTGCCTATATTTTCTCTATTATCTCTATCCCTTATGTCTCATAATTATAATTTATTAAAGTATAAAATGATGTATTCTTTCCCTTCTAGATTAACATAATTGAGTTGAACATTTAAATTGACACTTAAGCTTTTTCATTTTTGTGCTCTATCTCTCTCTCTCTCTTGTCAAGTTTGCGTGATCTTCAGTCTAGCATAAGTTTCAAAATGAGCATTTGGCACTGAAGTGATGTTGGTGGTTCCCCTTCTAAACTCTTTGCAGCATCTCCTTTAGTGTGTTGTTCATGATAGATTTGTTATACATTTATTGATGAAGATCAGATTACAGTTACTGAAGATTGGAGTATGATCAGCTCTTGCAGTTAAAATTATTATCCTGTTCTCTTGTCGCAAATGTTAATGTCAAAGATCTCCTGGGTTCTGCTTTTGTTTTGTTGTGGATGTGTAGCTGATTGCTTAGGTCAAAGTACTTAGGTTGAACATACCCTCGCCAACTTATCCTTTTCATTATATGGGATATGGATGTGTTTGTCTATGATGATTTGATATATCTCTTCTATTGCACAAGTGTGGTTATTAACTTGTCAGTTTCATGGAGAAGGTATTTGAATGTCTGGTGCAGTGGGACTTCTGGTTCATTTCTGATCATTATGTGCTCTGGAATGTCTTATTTAGGGTTGAGATAGATGGTGATTGTTGCTCTTTGTTAATGACAAGGGAGTTGCTACTTGCATGACCACTGGCCTTTAGTGTTCTGTAGGATTTTACATATTGCTGCTGATTCTTTGTATCATCATTTCCCAGCTCGTTTCACAAGAGTGAGGGCGTATCTCCATTCTTTTAGTTGGCACCAATGTCCCATGATTCTTTCCCTGACCTTAACCTTTAATCTTTGGAAAAAAAAAAAACATATTCCTAGTACTAGACCATGTGTTTGGATATGATTGCAAGTCAGAATCATTAGAAGAACAGAGCCATTTTGAGCTTATGGTAACGAATGTTTATTGATTCTTGCTGTGGTCTCTCTATTTTTTTCTATTTAGTGTGGTCATGTAACGAATAGTATACTTCTATTACATATAATGTATCTTTTTAACAATGAGGACGTTATATTTTTTGTTGTGTGCATGGTCCCAGCATAAATTTGCTGATTTAGTGTTCAATAGGCTTTTAATGCCCCTTTGCCTTAATACCTGGCCACAGTTATTTTTCAGTCTAACACTTAACTTTTGCCGGTTGTTGATTATTTGCTCTTGTATTAGGTACTTGTTAATGGTCACCTACCATAAATCCTGTACATGTTTCGTATAATTTGAGAGTCTTTTGCAGGTCTTGCATTCCCACCTCTCTACTTCTACAATGGAGGTGTTCGTGAGTTTCTAGCGACACTGAAGCAGCATGTTTTTCTTGTAAGGTTGGCTTTCACTTTTTCGAGATGCCCTTTTTCTTTGGTACTAATTATCCAACGTGTAATTTTGTCAACTTTTTTGTGACTTGTTGACTATTGGAACTAATTGTGACTGTGTTCAAGGTGGAATTCCAATTGCTACTGCATATCCTTATTTTTAAACTTAGTTTTGTCACTCTTTTTTTTGAATTACTTTAAGACATTGGAAATTATTTCTCTTCTTTTTTACACCATCTCAGGCAGCTTTTAGGTTTATACAGTTTTTCATTGCCATTTGGGGCTTAATGTTTTCTGCTCTGAATCTACCTCCCTGGTTATCACTATTTTATGATTCTTTGGTTTTAGACTTTCTGTTGTTAGTCTCACTCAATTAAGAAAATGCATCTTTCTGTTTGTTTTTACTTTTCCGTTTAGGTATGTTAGCTATTAAGATAGTAATTGACACCTGTAAATTTCAGGTCTGCAGATGATGCAAATGTATTTCTTGTTAATGATCTTCAAGATCCTCTCCAGGTTTGCAATTTTTGACTATCCAATATTTAACGATTTTCTTATTGAAAATATTTTAATGTTGCTTTATGGGTTTTAATGCCATAGAGTATTTTCTGACATTTTATCAAGTATATATTATGACAGTAATCATTTTTGCTAGCTTTCAACATCTTAGATAGCTTTCAACAACATAGGATTTTACCAACTTAATAACATTGCATTCTTATATTTCTAAGAGAAGAAGAAGAATAAGAATATAAGAATATATTAACTTCATAAAAAAAAACATTGCATTCTTATATTTGTGTTGACATTGGATGTTATAATGTTTGAATATGTTAGCTGATAGATACAGTTATCCTGCATTACAAGGTAGTACTATGTAGTGTGAGCTCTATGATGTTAAAATGTAGATACACATAGTACAGTATGATAGAAGTGGGTTGGCTTTCTTGGTGTTTAGCTCTTCTCTATTGACCCCCTGAGTAGGCAAAGGCATAGAGTTCTTGGCCTGATTGGTATCCCAAGTGACTTGAGGAAAGGAAGTGTCCAGGAAACCTTTAATTCTAGTTTAATTGATTTTTCAACACTGCTTCTCATGTACCTATCAAATAATCTATAGCTAGTTGCTTTGTGGCCTAGAAAATTGGAGAGATAACCCTCTGAGCCTAGTCAAAAGAGCTTTTGTTTCTGCTCAAGTAGAGCCCCGTGGTCCTAGTGGTCAGGTGAAAGCGCTTAACACTGAGCCTTCTCCATCCCTATGAAGGCTTCTCATTCTAGAAGTTCCATGATTTCCGAGTGAGCTGGTGCCTCCCATCAGCTTCAAAGTCTTCCTGTGGTTTTCTTGCGTTATGTCTGCAATTCCTGACTTTGTTGACATTGTCCATTCTTGAACCCAAACTTACATCCTGATTTTACATAACTACTTTCACCAATGAATTGATAGGAGTCATAATCCTTAATTTAGCATGTTACCAGCACTTATTTGCATATGAGTCCTCTCACTTGTTGACCATTAAATATCAAATTCAGGGCGTGATGAGATCCTGTCAGTGGTACTCAGTCACTTGTGCATAGGCAGTTCAGTTTTGTATTTATGTATTCTATTGTAGTTTATTGTCTTTTAGGTGTTAATGTTTTTTTATATTTGTTGACCTTGTAAATGTGCTAATGATATACTGAGATGTGAATCCTGTTATATATGTTTGCTGTTTCTTTTTGTTGCTTTTCACTTGTTGATTTTGTTACACATCCATGCATGCATCCATCTTGGCGTGTGTTTTCACATGCAGTTATACATTCAAGCAACATGATTACATATGCGTGTGTTGGGTGAGTTACTGGTATTACTTTGTGTGGGTGCATAAATCATTCTGTTGCATGTGTGTTTTGCACACGCATTTAATTTATTGAGCAGTATGGATTTTCATGTCACATGTTGCTCCGTGAACTGTGCCATTTTCCATCTTTATCTTTTGCGGTATTCTTGGAAGTTGATATTTGGAGTGTTATCTAGAAAGATTGACCAAATGATAAGTGAAACCAATGATCTATTGGTTTTGCAGATTCCTTACATATTATATGTATCCAATTCTTGTGAATATTTGTAATTTATTGCTTGAACTTGTGAAAAATGATCTATTGGTTTTGTATATGCCTTGCAAATTATATGTACGCAATTCTTGCGAATATTTGTAATTTATTACTTGAACTTGTGAAACTTGAAACAATCCAGCTATGGGGTATTGGCTGACTCACTTATTCATATGCGTTCCCCCTCCAAAATACATGTTAAACATATATTTTTGATTCCAATTTTTAGGGATCGATAATCTCAACCATGAGGATTATGAATATAAAAAAAATAAATGTTTAAAAATTTGGAATTTGAGTTTTTTGTTTTTTTTTGAAATTTTTTCACCCCATCAATCCCTCTTTATTGCTCCCATATTAAAAATGGGCATTTGATAGTCAAAGCGGACACATGCCTCCATTGACTCATGAAACACTTACCAACTTAAAATGTTGCTTGCAGATTTGTTTTTCATGTGAATTCATCTATCAAAAGTGTCATGCTTTGAGATCGGCATGTATGATCTCTCTCTCTCTCTCACAATGTTTTAAAAAACGGCGAGTCGAACCGGACTCGCCCGGTTCGACTCGGAAACACGTGTGCCCATGCCGGTTCCAACCAAAAACCGAGAACCGCCCGGTTTTAGAGTGGAACCATCGGTTCCCATTCGGTTCTATCCGGTTCAGCCCGGTTCTAGAGTGGAACCGCCGGTTCCCATCCGGTTCAGCCCGGTTCACACACGTAACACATGACACTCACGTGCGAGTTTGCCCCACGCACGTGCGAGTGTGCCCCATGCACACTCACACGCGCACGTGTGTCCGAGCGCACGTGCGAGTGTGCCCCACACACACTTACACGTGCACACGTGTGTTCAAGCGCACATGCGAGCGTGCCCTAGGCACACTCACACGTGCACACGTGTGACCAAGCGCACGTGCGAGCGTGCCCCACGCACACTCACACACGCACACGTGTGACCAAGCGCACGTGCGAGCGTGCCCCCACGCACACTCACACGTGCACACGTGTGTTCAAGCGCACGTGCGAGGTTGCCCTAATATTCTTATATATATTTTATATTTTATATTGCATAGGTATTTATATACCAAAGTTGAATAC